CTGCTATCATATAGCGTGACTATTCTGTTACATTAAAATTAGCTTTCAGCTGGTAAACTTGCACCTTGACTCGATTCTTAGGAATATTAATCAGTTTGATTGTACAGCCTGCAGAGGGAGCCCTGATGTATTTAGTATGAAGAAGCAAACAAGGTCAGTGTTGGAAGACACCACATGATCAGTGTGTTTATGAGCAAGCCCTGCCCGTGTTGGGAGCAGACCTTTGTTAGGCCATGGATTCTGTCACACGTACTGGTGACCAGAAACACTCTTCTTTCTGGTCACAACAAGCAATAAATAATAAAATAAAATAAAAATGCAAGAATTGTTAGGAGAAGTTTTGGAAATGACCATTTACACTTGTGTGAAATGATGAAAACTACAGATTGGTTTCCATAGTGACAGCCACACCCTCCTCCCTCCCCTGAAATGAGCAGGAAGCGACAGACTGTAGTCCACAGAGGAGGATGCAGTCAGGATTATAACAGCAAGACATCTCCTCTGTCATGTCAATGTCAAATGTATTTATATATCACTTTTATAAACAGGTTCAAAACTGCACCAAAGTGCTGTACCAAGACGGTAACACAATAGAATAAATTGATGAAAAGAGAAAAAAATCATACAAAATAATAATAATAATAATAATAATTAAATAAAATAAATGTAAACATCCCAACAGTATCAGGCCTCAATTAAATGCCAGCAAATACAAATAAGTTTTAAGATGCAATTTAAAATGATCCAGGCTGTGGGCAGATCTAATCTGGAAAGATAGCTTATTCCAGAGAACAGGAGCGGCAACGGAGAAAGCCCAACCCCCTTAGCAGTCTGAGTAACTCTCAATAGCAGCTGATTATTAGATCTTAAGGTTCTGGACACAGGGTGAAGTTTCATGGTGATGAACAAGTCAGGGTTCAAACACAATTCACATCTTCAACTTTTTGTGGTCCCATCAATCATTCATCAGAAGTGATGTAGATTTGGAGACGCAGTAAGAATGCTATCTAAGGATCCTTCACACAGTACCTATAGAAAGTATTTACACCATTGGATATTTTACCCTTTTTATGGCATTTACAAATCAATCATGATCAACAAAATCTGATCATGATTGAAGTTTTTAACAAAAAAAAAAAAAACTAAACCTACTCTTTAATGTCAATGTGAAAACTGATATGGAATAAAATATGTAAAATACAATAAGTGATTCTGTGATAGGCTGTCCAGTCACCCACTGATGGCTGCAGATAGGCAGCAGCACCCTCGTGACCCCACTGCAAGCGAGCGATGGATAGACAGATGAATGGACGGACAATAAGTGATTGAATAAATATTCATCCCATTTAAAGTTACTGACCGAACTCAACGGAAGTTCAGCCAACTGGTGTTGGCAGTCTGACAAAGAGTGGAATGGAGACGGCCTGAGAGACAACTTTGTAGGGAAGGTCCATTCACTGGCTAACTAGTAATACTGGCTACCATTACAGCATGAAGACAAAAGAGCACTCCGAGTACAGCAGAGAACTAGTCACTGATATAAAAATATCTCTCAAGCACTGAACAAATGAACATCCCATGGAGTTCAGTTAAATCCATCACCAAGATACAGAAGGTATATGACATATGTGTAATTTTGTCTATTAGTCCTCACAAACTAAGAGACCATGCAAGAAGGACAGAGAGAGGGGATCCGAACACCTTTGACTACATCAAAGGAGTTCCAAGCTTCAGAAGCTGAGATGGGAGACGTGTGGAAGACTCCACTATCAAATGGAAGAAAGATATTTGGTCTGACTCATGTAAAATCACTCAGATAAAGAACAGGCACCTAATGGCACGCTGCACTATTAGTTTTCATTGGAAAACTAATACAAAAACAACCATAGTCGCACCTCCTGTGTCTGGTTTGGTCTTTGTGAAACGGATAAAGCCAGAGCGAACTGATGGCACTATGTCAAGCCTGGCTTTATCTCTTCTCCTGTAGTTCATGGTCCTTGCGCCCCCCTCTCTGTGTGGCTGGTTATATGCTGCTGGCTCCTGTACTCAGTGCCAGTATGTGACAGCTGCACGAGAGGCGAGTTGCATTTTTCAGCACACAGCATAGAAAAGCGTCAACAATACATAAGACATTATCTTTATTAACTTAGACACATAGAGAGTATTGAATACTTACTAGATTGCCTGGCAACAGCTTTTGTACTTTTAGTGTTTTTAATACTGTAAAACACTATGTGCTAAAGTTAAATGCTAATATAACAGTATTGTAGTGTGCTGAGTGACGCTGAGCTGATTGAACTGATTCATATCTGATATGTTCTCATTCAGGAAATAAAATGCCCTATCACCTAGAAACTCATCATCTTCATTAAGAACTACACAACGCAGAGTCGAGGCGTTACTTTGGCCAACCCGGTTCAGTGGAGTGAAGCAAAACCCGGTTACACTAAACTAAGATACAAAAAACTAAGCTAAACTAATATAAGAGAAGAAAAGCTAAGCTAAACTAAGCTACACTAAACTGAGATAAGCTTTATTGTTCAAAGGAAATTTGTACTGGGCACAGACACTGGCAACTGCATAGTCTAAAATCCATACGCATGTTAGGTTCACATTTAATGCTTAACTTAACACTTTTTTTAAAGGTTTTGTTGGCTCTAGTGGCCTTTATCTGAAAGTAGTTTGACAGGAAAGAGAGTTATGAGAGAGAGGGAAGATATGTAGCAAATGTTGCCAGGCTGGGAATTGAACCTGCAATCACTGACATGAGGACTAAGGCCTCAATAAGTGGGTTGTGCTTTGCCCCTGCGCCACCACAGCACCCTTAACCTTAACTCAACACTTTGCACTGGATACATTCTAAAACAAACAAAAAAAAATACCAGTACATAACAGAAACATAATAACACAGTTTAAAATCTTTAAGATCTCCACCTACAGCCATATTTTAGTGTTTGTTGCTATTAAAGGTTTTGATAAAGTGGAACAAATTTGTTCTTGTAGCGGTTCAGACTAAATGGGTCCAGTCAAAGTCAAGACCTGAGCCTGAATAAAATGCTGTGGTGCGGATGCTAAGAGAGCTAAAGGTGTGTTGGCCCACAGAACACTGGGCCTGTGATGTAAGATCTAACAGGAGTAAGTTTTATTTATTTTGAACATGATAGTATAAAATCCTGCACAAGAACAAGGAATGTAAAAGACACATTTTTGTACCAGTCATCTTAACATGCTCGAAAAGGAGTAGGAAGAAGTAAGAAACTTATGAACTCATAACCCATAAACTCATACAATATTTTCAGATGGGCCCTGATTAATAAATCAAAAATAAAAATAAACAGGTTAATTAATTTTCCATTTCATCTGGGTTTACATATGTCCAAGTATATACATGCATACATCCATACCCACACTCATATGCGTTAGCCTCAATTTACATATACACATTAGTGCTCACCCATATTTCTATATCTTGTGAAAATGACCTCCTTATATTTCCTTTTAAATAGTATTAAATTTTGACTTTGTTTCAACTCCTCATTTAACTTGCTCCATAACTTTACCCCGTGAATTGAAATACAAAAACTCTTTCTTGTTGTTCATAAACTACAAATCCTTAAGTTGGAGTGACCCTTTACGTCATGTCCCCCTTCTCTCTCAAAAAACATGCTCTGTTTGAGCTCAGCAGTTTATTAGATGCCTTAAACATAATTTAAGCAATTTTAAATTCCACCAGCTCTTCAAATCGAAGAATTCTAGATTTTAAGGATAACGGGTTTGTGTGCTCATAATAACCAACATTATGGATGATTCTAATGGCTCATTTCTGTAGGATACTTAGTGGATGTAAAGAGCTTTTGGAATTAATCCCCACACTTCTGGACAATATGTTAAATATGGCAAAATCAGAGAGTTGTATAGAATATGAAGTGATTTATTATTCAGAATATGTCTAGCTTTAGTCAGGACTGATATGCTTTTGCTTAGTTTATTCTGTAAATGTTTAATATGAGGTTTCCTATTGATTTTGTCATCTATTATTACACCGAGAAACTTAACATATATCCTTTCTAGAGTTACACCCTCTAGCTGGATTTAAGTTTGTGCTTTTTTGTAACAGTTTCCAAAAACCATGATTTTAGTCTTGTCCAAATTTAGTGATAATTTATTATCGTCAAACCTTTTATTTAATTTACTGATTTCTGAGGCGACTATGGAGAGAAGTTGTTGTAAGTTTTCACCAGAGACTAGAATATTTGTGTCATCAGCAAATAACACAAATTGTAATACATTAGACACTTTGCTTATGTCATTTATATACAAATTAAATAAAACTGGTCCCAGTTCTGACCCTTGAGGTTCCCCACACACAACCTCCAGAATCAGATTCAATCTCTCCCATCTTCACAAATTGTTTTTTGCTCTTTAAATAACTCCTCATCCAGTTCAAAACTCCTCCCGGAATTCCATAGAGTTCTAATTTTTTAATTATGATATCATGATTTATTGTGTCAAAAGCTTTCTTTAGATCCATGAATACCCTTACAGCTAATTTCTTACAGTTGCATTAGTAATTTCTTCTAAGGCAGTTCACACAGTAAAACTGCATTTAAAATACAAATTAAGATAATCCCAGGTGTTGTGTATCTAAGGTTGTTTTGTAAGACTTTTTCATGAACTTTATTTAAAGTTAGCTTGTTGCATTTAAAATAGATTGTTGTTTTTGCCCATAATAACAGCTAATGTGTTTGGGTCAAATCCGTTAGCAGCACACATGTCCTAAGTGACAGAGTAGATTCATTTGGTAAGACTGGACATCCACACTGATTTCTTGACCAACTCATCAAGTTAGACATTGTTGGTTTTGATGTGTTTTAATTTTGATTTTTATTTGTTTAATCTTGTGATTGTACAGCACTTTGGTCAGTGGTACTGTTTTAAAGTGCTATATAAATAAACTTGCCTTGCCTAGACAAAGATTAAATGCCTCCCCCACCACCCACCTTTGTAGCCAATGAATGGGAAGCCCCAGCCTCCAGCAGCACCGAGGCGGTCTCCACCTGCCCCTCCCTAGCAGAGATGTGGAGCGGGGTGTAGCCATTGGTTGTGGCAGCATCAGGATGGGCCATGTGCTGTAGCAACAGCTGCACAATCTCCGTTTTCCCAAGACGGGACGCGATGTGAAGAGGAGTCTGGTCCTCCTGGACAGGATGAGGAGGGGAGCATGACAGTTTTTAATCAAACAGCAGATCTGATATTGATGACACGGGTATTGATGAGTGCAAGACATGTGACAAAAGGAATCTCACCCGTGCCCGAGCATCCACCATGGCTCCGTTTCTCAGCAGACATCTGACCACCTCCACCTGGCCAGCCCTGGCTGCCATGTGTAACGCTGTTTCTCCACGCTGTGTACAGTAGGTAACGCACAGTGTCAGATGTAACTGAAACCCTGTCTCAGCTACCTCCTGCCCCTGCCCTTCCCCATTACTCACTATATTGCTGACATCCGCTGAGGCTCCGTTCTGCAGCAGGAGCAGTACAATGTTCAGGTGACCCATAAAAGCTGCTACGTGGATGGGAGTCAGGCCAGACTAAACAGGCAGCAGAATGCAGACACATGGTGTGAATAAAAGATCAGTGCTCTACAGTGTTGCAAAAGACTAGTTAAGAGGCAAAACAATGATAAACTCAGATCACTTTTTATTCCAACTTTCTTTATTGAATTTAACAGCTTGACATGCATCAATCATTAGGACAATAAAAACACAGTATAGATAACAGAGAAAAAGCAGTGCACGCTGATTTATCCCAAAACCCAACGCACCCTGAACACCCCCCTTCTAGGTCCAAGCACAAGACAAACAGCCAACAGAGACAATCCCTGCAGCAACTTCTAGCAACAAGACATACACACACCCATCCACCCACACACATTTCAAAGGAGGCAGAGAGAAGAAAAGAGAGAAAAAAAATACATTAAGTAAATAAAAAAATAAAATAAAAAATATGTTTATATATACACACACATACATAATGACAGTAATGTTAATTGTAAGTTAAACAAATATATAAATAAATGACAAAGAATAGAAAAATTATAATAAGAAGAATATATATTGGTTAAAAACAAAATAACTAGATATAGGTGAGAAGGCCTACAGATAATTTAATTTCCTTCTGTATCAGGGAGCAAAGTCATGGTACCCACTAAAGACAGGAAAAGTCTACAAGTCTCCATAAATTTGTTGGTGGAACCCTAAAGTGAAAATCTGAGTTTTTCCAGCTTCAGGTTGTAAAGAGCTTCTCTAACCCATTGGTCAAGAGACGGGGGGGACGCTTAGTTTCCACTTGAATAGAATAAGTCTTTGGGCTAAAAGGATAGTGAAAGCCAGGGCCTGTTTCAAAGAACTCCAAAGGCCCGGGTCTGGAGGGAAGCCAAATATCGCTGAGAATGGATTGGGCAGAATTGTCTGATTATATGCTTGACTAAGTATTTTAAAAATGTTACCCCAAAACTCGCTTAGCTTTGGGCAGGCCCAAAACATGTGGGTATGGCGACTGTCCACACCTATTGCAAACATCACTGACTGATGAGTAAATTCTTGCTAGTTTTGCATTTGTGTAATGTACTTTAAAGAATATTTTGCACTGGATTAAGGCATGCAGGGCACAAATCGAGGATTTATGAATTAAATTCTTGGCAGCCTCCCACTGCTCCCCCTCCCATGCTATTTTAACAAGCGCTGCAAATCTTGAGGTGTTATTATTATTAATAGAATTATATAAAAAATAAAAAATTCTGTTGTGGGTCTACTTGCAGGAGAGTATCCAAAAGTGTTTCAGGTGGACGATTAGGAAAGTGCGGAAACACCTTTTTAACATAATCCCTGGCCTGAAAGAACTGAGAGAGATGATTATTGGGCTATTAGAATTTACATGAAAGTTCAGCAAAGGATGAAAAGGTATTGTTGAAATAAAGTTCCTTTACAGTCTTGATCCCTCTGTCATGCCACAAGTTAAAAACTAAGTCAGTGACTGAAGGCATAAAGTTACAATTTTTGGTTAAAGGAATTTGTATCGAGGGTCCATGCAGGCCAAACCGTTTCCTGAATTGGTTCCAGATAATGTAGCCCTGACTATGCGGATTGCCCTCTACCAGGGAGAGGGGCAAGGAAAGCTGAGGCATCTCTAGTCCTCTCTGCTTTGTTCTGAAACAAAGCAGAGAGGACAACAAATAACGGCTAGATGCCCTTTCAATCTGCACCCAGGCCGGTGAAACATCAGCATCACACCTCCAATACAACAATTTCTGTACATTAGCTGCAGAGTAGTATTATTGCCTGAAGTTGGGAAGAGCAAGTCCGCCCTCATAAGTTGGGGACTGTAGCACCGCTTTACGAAGTCTGGCAGGTTTTTTTAAGCCATAAGAGTTGAGATATCTTCCTGTCCAATTTGTCAAAAAATGTTTTTGTAATTAATATAGGAACATGCTGGAAAAGGTAAAAAAAAAATTGGGGAAAATAACTATTTTAACCAGATTCACCCATCCCACCAAAGATAATGGTAATAGGGACCACCGGTCAAAATCTTTCTCCATGCTCTCTAACAACAGTAAAAAGTTCTTATTCATCATGTTAGATCAGTGTTTCTCAATTCCAGTCCTCAGGCCCCCCTGCCCTACATGTTTTAGGTATTTCCCTTTTGCCACACACCTGGATTGAATCTCTGGGTGATTAACAGGCTTCTGCAGTACTTGAAGGTCATGCAATCATTTGAATCAGCTGTTCTGGTATAGAGGCACATCCAAAACATGCAGAGCAGGGGGCCTGAGGACTGGAATTGAGAAGCACTGTGTTAGACAAAGAAGAACAGATGAATATTCCTAAATAACGAAACCCTACTTCTGCCCATTTAAAAGGTGAGACTGAACGTGGAAGGTTCCTTGCCAGAGAGTTCAAGGGAAATAACTGGCTCTTCTGGTAGTTGAGCTTGTAACCGGAAAGCTTGGTATATTGTTCTAGAATGTTAAAGAGAACTGGGAGAGATGTACGAGGATCAGAAATGTATAAGAGAAAGTCATCCGCGTACAGGTACACCTTATGAGTTGCACCAGATTTTAGAATACCCTTAAAACCTTCTTTGGCACACAACCAGATGGCTAGAGACTCTATTGCGATAGCAAATAGCAGGGGGGACAGATGGCATACCTGCCTAGTGCCCCTTCCAAGTGGAAAGGGTGAAGACACCATATCATTTGCTTTAATTGAGGCTACAGGTGATGAATACAACAGCTTAGCCCAAAGGATAAAATTGTTATCAAAGCCAAATCTTTCCATTACTTCATATAAAAACCCCCATTCGACCCGGTCAAATGCCTTCTCGGCGTCGAGAGATGCAATTATTTCAGGTGACAGAGTACCTGGCATATGGATAATATAGAGAAGACGTATAGAAGTATATACATTGAAGTAAGGCAGTCCGGTTTTGACTGAAAGGAGACTGGTACTTGGCATATTGTTGGCCGGCAGCTGTAGAGATAGAAGAGAGAGAGAGAGCGAGAGAGAAAAAAAACACGGGAAAAGACTCACACTCACATACACAATTCCACTAAAAACACACATCTAGACCCAGACCCCCTTTAAAGCAAAAACAAAAATCTAAGTGTCCATCGCACAGCAGGCCATCT